AACCCATCCTCTGCAGGGAGCTGTGTGCAACACAATGACCTCTCTGGGTGCTTGTCAGTTCCTGTCAACATTTCCCAGCTGAACACTCTGGGAAGGCTCACCTCTCTTTACTCTGCTGTAAGTCATGGGAGACACTGCTTGGCAGTAACAACCGTTTATTAGCAGATACTATAATGAGCACCCAAATAGATTTAATTTGAAGCACCCAGCTCTTTGCTGTCGTTGTTATGCAGCTTAGTTTGTATTGCACTTGTTACTGTTCTTTTCTTTATTTCATGACTCCTCCTTGCCCTCCTCCTCCACCACCACACCACCAGGCTTTCAGAGCGTTAGTTCAGTCTGAGACACGGCTGAAAAAAAGAGCCTTGGATCACCAAGAAATACGCCACTGTTTCTGAAACACTTTGGTTTCAATTAATCAGATAAGCCACTTCTAATATAAAGTGGAACAAATGAAAGATGCTTTAATACTCAATAAATAATCCTGGTAAATATTTCTGAATATGATTACTCTAGAGTGTCAGCTTCTGAACTGAAATACAAAGCTACTGGATAAAAAGCAGTTTTTGGCCTTAAAACTGCCATTCTCTATAAAGGCCACCAGGGGGCATTATCTGTAGTTGTAAAAAGTTAAGGTGCTGACATCAGTAATTATCTTAATGAGAGGTTTATGGACTTAGTCAGGCATTTTGGCTTATAATGAATAAAATATGTTAATTTTGTAAATGTTAGTTATTTTAAAAGTCAGAAAGGTCATCGGCTAACAGCTTTCACCAGACGTTAGCTAAAGAACATGTACCCTATGTTTGACAGTCAGACGGACCCTCACTCATCACACCTGGTTTCATCTCTAGGCTTCAAAATAGGACTTCACAAACCAGCAGGTGGCTTCACTGTGACTATATTCATGTTTTATACCGTCTATGGTGAAGAGTGACAGAAAGGGAAGTGTAGAAGTTCTCATGACAATGTGACAGGCCTGGGCTAAAAGAGGCTCAGTTTTTATTTTCAATAAGTTACACTTTTCAGTTTTATTTGAAGCTGCTGTACTCAATAGCTATCTGTTAGACTTCACCTCTGCTAACTTCAGTCACTGAATTGGGCCTCTCCACTGTGGTTTGCTGTGTGATGCAGCTTGCCTGAGAAGTTCTCCACCTTGAGGTGAGTCAAATTCTAGTCTTTAATTAGGAGGCACCTGGGTCTGTACTCTCACTACTTGTCCAAATATAGACACATGTGGCTCCTAAAGGTAACACTATGGCAGCCAGAATGCTAACACTGTGGCTTTGAAATGCCAGTTTATGTCAAGGTGGCCATCTTTTTTATACAGTTGATGGACAAAGATCTCTCTTCCTGGCAATAATCAGTGTGTGTTTACAGTACTGTGGAGACGTCTTCTGTCACCACTTATTTCTTTATGTTTTGCTTCCAAGAAGTCACACTTGAGTTCTGCAGGCTTTCTGAAGATCTGGCAAAGTTTTTTGTTTTTGGACATTGGCTCCTTTTTCTGCTTCTTTTTAGTCGAGTCCTTCTACCGGACAGTATTCAGAAGAGTTTTCGTTTGTTAAGCCACTTAACACTGACCTATGACTCATTCAGCCATAAAAAATAAATATTTAGGACAAAAAGTAGTAATAGCAGGCCTAAAGAAAATTTCTACATCAGATGATTAATATCTTAAAGTGATGTCCTTAAGAAATAGTAAAACCAAATCCAGCAAAAGCTGGAGAGATGGATCTGGTCCTTCAGCCTCACCAGGAATGGTCTCAATGGAAAGGCCAAGATGTCATTCTTAAGGAAAATGCAGAGGAAGTCAAATTACACAAGAACCAGCCTGAAAATCAGTGCCAACAGGTCTCATGAAGTGAAGAATTCAAATTTTGAAAAGTGAAAACTGTGGAGGTTCTGCGCTGGTTTGGAACTGTATGTAACTATATCAGCCAGTGATCTTGGTGCTGTGGGTCGAAATTAAAGGAATTGCAAAATCAGAAAAATACCACTTGATTTTGAACCACTTTATAATGCAATCTGGAAAGTGTCTGATTGGTAAAAGCTTCATTTTTCAGGATGACAACGATCCCAACGATGCTAATGCAGTAAAATACCTGAAAATACCACACAGAGCCCAGTCCTCGACATTAGTGAAACAGTGTGGGATCATGTAGATATAGAACAGAACAAAAGGCAGCCAACATCCAAAGAAGAGCTTTGAATGTCCTACAAGAATCCTACCCGACGACTACTTAAAGAAACTATAGGAAAGCTTAAAATTGTTCAGGCTGTGAAGAATGAAGGTGGTCACACCAAATATTGACCTTCAAGCTCATTACTAAAAACTCTGTTTTTGCCTTATATATTTCCAAGTGTTTTTTTTTACATTTCAATAAATCACTGGATACATTTCACATTTTCCTAGCAAAATATAAAGAAGTGAGGGGTGGCTCAAGACTTTTGCACACTGCTGTACTTTCAGATAAATGGAGAGCCCGTACATTTTAAGGTAATAAATAATAATAAATAACAGCACTTTACTTTTTCATATTTCTGATTACTAACCAGGTCAGATACATCTGCTGTGACGTGACACACAGTCACTGGAGAAAACACCAGAGTGCCCTCACAAAATGATGACCAAGCCTCAGAAAAATATGGAAACCATTAGCTTTTATTGTTTTAGAGATTTTTACAAAAAAAAAAAAAAAAAAAAAAAGTGCGATTCCCTCAAATACTTCAGAATGTTTTTCACATAACAGATTTGTGCCAAACACGTCAATTTCAGTTTCATCATTTTCAGACATAACAGATGATCGACAGACTTAAAAAAACAAAAAAAATCAAGTAAGTCACCTTGGCATATAAGAAATCTGTTAAGCTGGATTGAGCAAACTTATGTTGCCGTGTGTTTGGATGAATGAAGACTAGTAATTATTTTAAGAAATAATTACTAGTCTTCATTCAATATGCTTCATATTCTGAGTTGTAAACTGTGCAGCCTATGCATGAAAAACATGTACGAGACGTCAGTATGATTTGAAACGGTGCGGTAGTGTGTACGCCAGTATAACTGTGTGCCTCTGTGTAGGAGTATGTCTGTATATTAAAGGCTTCCCAGTGAAATGAAAAGACACTCGATGAGGGAGAGTTTGAGCAGAGCGCCTGAGGTTGGTGTGGTGACGGCCAAGACGACAAGAAAACATCAGATTAATTCTATATAAAAAGAAGCCCTAACAGTGATTTGTACCATCGCTTTCCGCCCTCGCTCCAAATTTCAAGCAAATGACAACATATTTCCAGCAGTCAGTTACACAGTGGTCCCCTCAATTAACAACAAAAGACTTAAAAAATAATTATCACAGACGCTTGAAACTCTGGGTCTAAATCAGTCGTTAAACTCCTTCTCAAAGCCAAATTTGGCACGATTCAGTGATTGCCTCAACATGTTTAAACACCCCACGGACCTCAAACGACTTCCTGAAAAAATCTGATGAATAAGTCACATTACATTAACTGATGTGAGGTTCCCTTAGGCGAGGAGGTGGGGGGTGGGTTCACAGTAATGCGTTTACTCTAAAGGGTTTCATTGATTCTTCAGAGGGCTTTTTAAAGTGAACCTACCATGCTTTTCCTTCTTTTCTGTGATACAGCTTTTGCTACAAAGGTGGATGCTTTATTATAAATGGCCAAAGTTTGACATAATGAGGTCACCAATTAAGCTCGAGCATCAGAGTGCAGTAAACTCCTGGTTTCAGACAGATTTTTCTACTTCTGGCTCTGTAAAATGTCAGCGTCCTGTCCTTCTGAATAAAGCTATCCTTCAAGCTTTATTTATTGGTCCTGTCATTGTTTGCATTTATACCTGAGCCCAGTGTGTCTACACTAATCATACTGACTTGAAACCAGGTAGAAGACTTTAAAAGTGATCCAATCTAAGCACAAACTGCTAAGCTGTAGACTCAATGTAGCTCTATAAGCAGAGCGACCCACCACAGGGTGGGCAGTGAATTGGATTTAAATTTAAATCTGATTGATCAGGATCAAACAACTAAAGGTGCACATATTTCACTAGCAGGTTTACTTCATGTATTGTGTTTTAAATCAAGCAAACACAGTTATCTTTTTTACACTGTTGTACGTTTAGTCCTCTAAACTGGAAGTGAGTTTGGGGTTTTGTTTTTTTGTTTTTTTTTTAAGTTGACACGATCAATCTAAAGGTTTCTGTCAAAAGTGATGTATGACAGAGGTGCCAGCTGGATCGGCTCTTTGGCTTTCCATTGCACTCGCCTCTCCTCTTCTTGATTCCATTGTCGTCTAATGATGCCGTCTCACAGAGGACACCGGCCGGATGGACCGGAAGTTCCTACTGTAACACCATGCTTCCCAAATTATGTGAACAATATATAAAATTCAGGAAAATCCCCAATAAAAACACATTTTGTTTAAATTTCTTTAAGTTAATAACTAAAAGATAACCAGATTAAAACTGTTAACATAATAATAGAGAAACCATCTGTCCACTTCCTTCTACCTATCCAATTCCTGCTGTCAATAGGCAAGATGTGGGGTACAGTCTATTACAGGTTTAACACAGATTGACAGACATCCATTCATGCTCACATTCACACTAGTTCAGCTAAAAATGGAAGTCTAAGGACTGTGGATGAAGCTGGAACACCTGGAGAGAAACCACATAGAACATACAAACTGCACAGAAATGCCCCAACTCACTGCTGGATTTGAACCCAGGACCTTCTTAGAGTGAAAAACCGCATGCCTCCTGAACAATTTTGGCTCCTCTATCATCAAAAGCCTTTTGTTTGTTAGGTGCAGCCAATCAGATAAAAGCTGGTTTAAAAGTAGAGGAACTAAACTGCTTGTTTCAGAGGAAGAACTTAGAGGCTGCACCAATGCCCAGTATAAGATAAAGAAGGATTATTTCCAACTGTGAGTTGTGCAAAGCTAATACTCGAGTCCAAAATTAAAAATGAGCATAACTGGTCAACTTCAAGGCAAAGAAGAATGATCTTTTATGAAGATTACACTTTCATTTTTTTAAAAAGTATTCTAAAATTGCTAATTCATTTTCAGTTCAACAAGCACCGAACCTACAGCCAAATCCCCTCCAATCACTAAGAAATCTTATAGTAATTCAAGTCAGTACAACAATTAACAGAAAAACAAGAAACAAACTTTGAATCGCTTAACCATGAAAAACAGGGGGGGAGAAAAATCAAGGGCTCAATGTGATTGATTTCAATAAAAACTTGTGATTGGATTCAACAGATTGAATGCACCTCTTCCTGTGGAGTGATACAACATGCTACTTTAGGCAAACATTCTGTGCTTTAGCTAGCAGTGTTTCTTATTGCCACAAGTCACATTAGGAATGAGTTCGTGTTCACAAACGGAGCCCGTTGAGGGGCGACTGTGTCCGATTAGTTATATGACACTCTCTCTACGAGCAGCAGGTGTCAGCGTCTCTGAAATGTGTAGCTAACATAAAATAAATACACACTGAAAGGAATCGGCCGTGCACTGTTACTGAAATGTTATGTCGCTCCCGTGATGGAGCGCTCTGTCCAGGTTTGGCTACTGCCGAGGGAGGTTAGGAGAGCAGCTACTCTGGTCAGTAAATATAAAGAAGGTACAAAGTAAGCATCATTTGAGTCCATTTTGGAGTGTGTTTTTCGCATATTAAAAACGGCAGAGCCAAACAGTCCCGCAGCACTTTGTCTCCTGCGGATGGCTTTGCTAATCACATGCAAATGTTTGATCAATGCAGTATCAGCCCTTTACACTGCAACCACACTGCGAGAAAAAACTAGATGCCTGTGAATGGCACACAGAAATAATTTGTCAAAGCGGAGTACTCAAATGTGCAATACAGCAGATCTCTGTTAGGATCCCCCGGATTCAATAATGCCTTCGGAGGAGGAGAAGTATCTTATTTTCTACTCTGCAGCACAATTTGTTCTGATCTGTTCCACCTAGTACAACTGCCTTCTGACAGTCTGAACAGCAGTCATATAGAGAAAAGCAAATCTGATGTATTAAAATAAGGCGTGTGCTTTACTTAACCCCTTAACATGTGGCACTACAAAAAGGTTGATCTATGAAATAAGTTAAAATGTGTAACATACGGATAAACAGTTCATATTGGATGTTTTAGGACTAATCATATTTGTGTCCTTATGTACAATAAAGTGAGGAACAGTACAAGGCACACATTTAACAGTTGAATTGTTACAAAGATATAAATAACCAACAAAAAAAAAGTAAAGAAAAGTTCATGAATAGTGTGTGCTCTCCTCTAACTCTGTCCAATGTGCTTTCATTGATTTTTCTCTGCAGCACTCTCGAGTGGTCTATTTCAAGACTTGAAGTGTCATCGTGGTTGACCTGTCCAAGCAACCTTGGGAGCAGTGACACCTTAACGAGGCTAGCAGCAGTCAGATGGATCACTGTGTGTTTGTGTGTATACGTGCGTGTATTAAATGATGTCTACAAAGCTGCCAGGGAACAGTCCCGTCCTGCCATTCCTCTGCAGCGTGCCTTTGAACCAGCCATCTTCCCTCTTCCTGTGAACAAACACAATGTCGCCCTCCTTAAGTTCCAGCTCTGCTTCGCTCTGGGGAGGATATGATACAACCACCCTGTACCTGAAAGAGAATAGCCAGGCAGATGGTGAATGATACACACTGCAACAATGGCAATGAGTGTGTCCTGGAAACAGATTTAAAAACAACAAACAACATGCACACATGGAAAAATTTGAGTGTATATATCCCACTCAAACTGAACTGAATTAGGAACACCATAACATGGACACAAAGTTCTAGTCTAAACAGGCCTTCATGAATCTGGCTATTGATTGATCTAGTTGTACAGATAAACAATCATCTGAAACAGTCCAAATAAACAGCGCATTTACCTCTCACATATGATGGGACGTGCGTCATGCTGTTGAGATAAAAGAGAGGAGCAGGGCTGGCGGGGAGGAGGAGCGATAGGAACACATCCATCAAGGGGACTGCTCTTCCGATGGGAGGACTCTGGGACTGAGGAGGAGGAGGATGACGAGGCAGAAGCAGCAGCAGGTTCAGAGTCCAGGCAGCTCGCTGGGCCAGAGGGAGGGGAGGTGTCAAGGCCCACAGCGCCATGTAGCAGCTCTCCAGCAGCAGCGGCCTGCTCAGCCTCAAGGGTAGGAGAGGAGGGGGGCGAAGGGCGAGACTTCTTCTTATTGGAGGACAACAGCTTCAGAAGACTTTTCTTTTCTCTCTGCAAAATGAAGACAAGCATTTTTTTTTTTTTACCCCTGAGGCGATGAGAAGTAATTTTCAGACGCGCAGACAGACATAATCTAATGTCTGGACCTGTTCGTTTCTCCCTACGCAAACGAAAAACTGTGGTGGGACAAATTCCAATTTTTTATTTTTTATTTTTGCAGGCAAGGTAGATGTGTAAAAACATGGCATCTATTTGTTAAGCAGACATTAAAAAATATATATATATAACAGCCCTCCTTGTTGTTCCTACTGGTGAATCGTCCCTGCATGATTAACATTTAAATAAAAATTAAGTCTCCCAGGGCATTTCAATCATCTGCTACAAATGAAGACATTCATTACTATGATGGAAAAAAACAAAACAGGTATCTATTAAAAACACAAACAGCAACAGACAATTGGAGACCATTTAAATTCTTCCAGAGTGTCTAAAAACAAATCCAACCTTGATGTCTTTATCCAGTCTGCAGGCAGGAGCTGCATTGTTAGATGTGGGATTGAGAGCGGAGTTGCTCCCAGGGTTGACAGGCACAGCGAGGACAGGTACAGGTCTCAAAGCGTCACTATCCAAAGATGCAGCGCTGACATTGGGTGGGGTCAAGGAGGCAGCTGCGCAGCCCATTGCCACCCCTACTCGAGTGCAGCCTTGTGCAGGGCTTGACCCGGGCTGCGAGCACACTGCGAGGTGTGGGAGATACGTCACGGGTGTTGCAGACTGTATTGGTGTCACTGCTGCTGTGGGCCTGTCCTGACTGTGACATGCAGCTGTAAATTCAATATGTGAAAATTAAAGGTTTAAATTTGTCTTCATACAAAAGGACAAAATCCATTTTAAGCCAGTGAGTTTACCTGTCCTGACCGCGTTGCGAGCCTGATTCACGGTCATCTGGGAGGTGACGTGCAGTGAGACTTTTGGCTGTTGGCCTGTGGCTGTTTGAGCTGTGGTGACCACCGCTGCAGGCTGGGAGTTGGCAGGTGCAACGGCGGGGCATACAGTCAGCGGTTTGTTAAAATCAGGCCCTGAAACAATGGCTCCAAGGGGAGCAGAAGAAGGGCTGACGATGGTGACACCTCTGCCTGCCTGAGTGCACAGACTCAAGGGCACTTTGGGCTGAGAGCTCCCAGACGCTGTCCTGCAGAGGGAGAGAGGAAGTAAAAAGGTGTAAGACACAGTGCAGCTTTATATCGTTAGCTTCATAGCATAAGTGCCTAAGTCATTGACTTAGTCAAATGACTTAGGCAATTATGCTATGAAGCTAACGATATGATGAGATGCATCTTTAGTGTGAAGTGTGCCCGGCAGCTCTAGTGTGTGCACTAGCATCCAGAACACCAATATATTAGAGTTTCAGAAAAGATTAATCACAGCCTGGACAACTAAGATTTCAGTACATCAAATATAAGATCCTGACTTTATGATAACCAAATATTCCAGTAGAGCAGATTGTTCTCTCTGGTTTGGAGGACAGTTGTTGCCCCAAATAAGAAAGTATAAATATTTCAGGATCTTTAAAAGTGATGGTGAGGGCAGTGTCTGAAAATAACAAGACTGCGGGTACAAGCTAACATAATTAGCTAACCCACTGGGTGGCTGGGCTAAGCCTTAGACACAAGGTGAAGAGCTCAGAGTGGAGATGCTGCTCCTTTGTGTCAAAAAGGAGACCGCTCATCCTTACAAGGATGCCACCTGGATGTTTCCCTTAGGAGGTTTACGAGCTGTACCCAACCGATAGACCCAGAACTCACTGGGGATTACACAGCTCTCCTGGCTGGCTTGAGAACACCTCGAGATCCCCTAGGAGGAATTGGAAAACATTGCTGGGAAAAGCGAGGTCTGGAATACCCGGCTTCGCCAGCAGTCACTGTGACCTGACTTCAGATAAGCGGAAGATTATAAATGGACAAATAAAAATGCACAGCACCATAGCTCTGTTTTTAGAAGGATCATTTCCAGATTTAAGTAGCTTACCACTACCCGATCCACCTCATAAACACTTTTCTGTCGATGATGCCTGGACAACACTTTTGATTTTAGCACCTGGAGGAACAGCTGTACCAATCATTTTATTGACCCTGAAAGAATCTGGAAAGTTTTAAGTCTGTGTGCCTCTCTGTGGTTGTTTGGAACTGAAGTAGCATTTAGTAAATTACATTAGCCATAAGAAGGTAAAGATTTCTGGTCTTAAACTGTGACTAATAAGAGTCACGGTTATGGTTTAAATTGACCATAAACCAAAAACTTGCTAAAACCTTAAATGAGGTCTACAATTTTGTCAGACTGAAAGCTGAATGCAGGAAAACAAAAAACTCTCATGAGGAATTTATGCAGCAAAATGTATTTTTTATGGGAGTTATTCTTTGCTAAGCTGGTTCAATAACTCAGCAAAAAGCATTTGTGCAGAATAAACATCAGGTGTGGCTTTATCAATAAAACACAGCATACTTTACACTATCAGCAAACTGGAGGAATTTTTATGCTATAGCTTTGCATCATAAACAAAAGGATGTGAAAGCGAGTGCACCTGTGTGTGTGTGTATACAGTACGCTGATAAGAATAACCTGACCTGCTGACGGGGCTCATGTAGTTCCCAGGAAACACTCCAATCTTGCCCGTGTGCATGGACGTGCCCTTGAACCAGCCATCCTGACAGCGTTCCAGCACCAGAAACATCTCTCCTTTCCTCAGCTCCAGTTCATCCTCCTTTCGAGGAGTGTAGGGAAACATTGCCACATAGCTGCATGAAAAACAAACAAAGATGAGACATTTACCAGACACATAGATGGCTTTCATGGCGGACTTTCTCCCCTCTGGAATAAAAGCATGCCATTTGCTTTGCGTTCATCCCATCATCCAGTACATCTGTCATCAGCTCCTCTGGGAGCCTCCAGCAAAGACAGTGCCCTCTGACCCAGAGAAAATCTGCACTGGAGGACAAAACAATTTGTGGGTCATGTCTCTGCCGCTGCCAAAAAAAAAACAGGCCTCAGCTGGGATGTTTTCAGTCTGATTTCAGTGTTGTCTGCGAGGGAACATAAATGGATGAGTCTGACATGCATGCAATGGCAGGAAAACAGGCATGAGTGGATCTAATTCTTATCAGGTGGTGGTTTGTCTTCAGGGAGTAATGAGGGTAAAAGGTGAAAGGGTCAAAAGTGAGGGGTCACCGAGTGGATGGACCAATGGGACCCAGGAGACTGTCACTCCCAGACTTTGACCCCTTCACCTGAGCAGAAGCTCACACTCTGCAGACTCTCAACTGACAGATGAGGGGGAGGGAGGGAGAAAGAGGGGGCTGTGTGAGAGACAGATGAGGATTTCCTCCCTCTGATCCGAGCATGTGCATTAAGGCTTTGGGCCATCAGTGCACAAACCGCTTGTGACATTTCACTGCACATTTCAGAAGACTGCATATTTTCATGTGGGACTGTTTTTATTACTCACACTGTGGGTCTTTGTCTCCCACTTTGGTCGCTTATGCTGGGGGAGGGTCTCTGTCCGGCAGCCAGCGAATATGCAGCTCCACCGACGGAGGACTGGGGGGGAGGCGGTGGGGGTGGTGGGAGAGCATCCTATAGAGGAAAGGAAAAAAAAAAAAATCACATTATTTTTCACTATGTCACTTATTTCCTCTCAGTTTGAATCAGAAAGATCAGGAAAAAAAGCAGAATGGACCACAGGAAGAAGAAAAAAACCAAACAGACTGCACGTTGCATAAGCACAGAAACCAGTTTGTTTATGAGAAACAAAGGAAGAAGAAGAATGAGAGATCATCTGTCATTTGGGTTATTCCCTCCAGCTGTCAACACCAGGGAGAGTGGTTTGGCAGCCTCCGTCGTCTCGTCCCCGACGTCCCATTGCAACGGAGGATCTCCTTTTCTGCTTGTTTGTTTGTTGCTAGGACACCGCATAGCTTGATGTTAAATCCATTGCAGTATTTAATTGGGAACATATGAAGTGAAAAGCATGTCTGTTGGCACACTTGAGAGCAACCCTCAAACCAGTCATGAGTAGATTCATCTTGACTCACTTGTTTTCCCTTGGTGAACGTCTTTAAGGTCAAAAGAGGCTCAAGCTTTTGACTGGAGGCCTTTAGGGGATTTTCTTTGTATGTCTTTTGTGCTTCTAGGATTACAGGATTAAAATATAAGTCACCAACTTCCTCTGTCACCACACAAAGCAGAAGTACAATTTTAGAAAGAAGTCAAAAATTCACAAGATTAATTTTTCATGTTTGAAAATTATAAACTTGTTATCTGATGTCTGCCTTTGTCTGCTGTCCAGCCTCCATTGCACTCTACCTTAAAATCTGTTACGATGGATGGGCAAACCAAAGGACAGCAAACACATATTTATTCAGGATATGCTCAGTTGAGCCATATGGATCACAGCTACCAGATGCTTGACAACAGGCTTCCCTTCCAGGTCCAGGAGGAAACTTTTTAGTGCTCACCCAAGTTCTCCATCTCTTTGGTGGTATCATTGGAGCATCTAAACAAGATGCTTTCTGGCTGCTTTCCTGTGGAGATTATTGGGCATGCTCAATTTGAAGGAGGTCTAGGATAGATCTAGAATGTTTTATGTGGCTTGGGAACCCCTCAAGAGCAGGAGGAAGCAAAAAGTGTTACCCTGCTTAGCCTGCTACCAACAAAACACAACTTCACATAAGCAAAATTGAATAGAAGGATCTGTCTTTAACAGCTTTGTTTTTCTCTTTTAAAAAAATAAATGGAAAATGACATTCTTTTACAACAGCAAAAATGGCCCCTGAAGCTTTTCAAACAGATGTTCTTGTTATCTTTCAATACATAATATTCTTTTTAGTGGAAATTTGTTCTTCTGAATAAAGATCAAACAGATTTAATTTTGGGTCTAGTGAAACTTCATCTTATTTTTTTCCTCTTCACATCGCTTTGAGCTCTTCCCAAACCCTTTTATTCTTTCTACATTCCAAAATGGTGACAAAATGTCCTTTTAACTTGCGTATATTTAGTACTTATGGCTGGCATATTTTTTAATAACAATTTAACCTGGCAGGACCAACATATATTGGCATTAACCGGTTATAATTTGTGTTCAAACTTTGGTTATGAATCCTTTTGTTTTCTCTTTGCCATGAGTCGTAGTTTTGGAGTCAGTTAATCCGGGTTTATAATTAACTTTGGAAATGAAACACAGTAAATAATCAAAAAAAAAAGAGAAAACAACACATCATTATAAAATCGTAAACTGTTAAAAAAAAAAACAAAAAAAAACCCAGATGAAGTCCCAGTGTGTTGGAATGATGCTGAAGAGGACTCTCCTATCCAGGAGCGAGATGAGTCTTCCCAAACCGAATGCTGGCAGTTCTGCACAGCAGAGTAATAGCTTCCATGACACACTGGGGGAGGAGAGTGGCACTCAGACAGCCCTGCGGTGTGCGCACGGGCTGTGTGTATGTGTGAGTGTCGATGTGCGTTTCGGTTCGCTGCCGACGCTTGAGCTGAGATAATTAGGTTGCCTGCAGGCTGGAGAAATCATCTGTACAAAAACATCATGTTGGGTTCCCAAGTGAAGCGGAGAGCGCAACCTTTTGTGTACACATTCCTGCTCATTCAGAAACTCCACATGCCAGAGCATACACACAGACAGACAGGAAGTGTACGTGCTGCTTTGCGTGGGCTGCAGGGACTTCTTGACATTTTTAGCTGCACTCATTCTTTTTCCCTCTACACATAGGTGTTGTTAAAAAGTTGTTTGCAAAGTGTAGAATTGTAAAACCATTATCGGCACAGAATACAGATGAACAAAACTTTGTCTAAAAGACCCTGACATAAATGGATGTCTGGCCAATCATCGGCAACACGTTTTAACGCTTTGAGGTTTAAGTCTTCATTGATGGTAACCGCAAACCTACATTTTAATCCTACAGGTGATAGAGACGATAACTTAGACCTCAGGGGATTACTGGATCAGTTAATCCAATCTCAATAGAATAACCGGTATAATGTATGCCATTGCCAGATGATGTTATGCTGTTTTTGAAAGTCTGGAGTGACATAAGAAGTGTACTAAATGTTGGGCTTCTACCACTCTTTACAAGCCCTGCAATACAGTCCATCTAAGCTCCGGTAGGCCTGACGGTGCATTCACACTTTGACCTTGAGATCAAGGCTACCGGCCACTGAAATTTTTAGTAATTTTTTTTAAGTTGTGAATGTGAAAATCCTGAGTGACTTCCTTCTCCAGTTATCACCTTGAGGTCAGGGTCACTGAGATTCAAAGTCGTCCAAGATTTTTAGTAGATGCACTTATAGCATCAATTTCAAATTCCTACGTTGCTTCGTTTTCTAGTTGTCATATTGACAAACTTGGGTGTCCACGTTGCCCGCCTGGCAGGTTGACAACAATGCCCTATCAGCCTTTTACAGGCTGAGGGGTAAAAAGAGGTTATGGTGGGTGGATGTCTTTCTACTAAATTAACCAACAACAAGAGAACCAATGATCATTAGACCACTTAAGTCCCCAGTAACAATCAACATTTACTTTAAAATTCATACAAATGCTGTCTTGAGCAATTTTTTTTTAAAGTCTTACCACAGGGATGGATGTGTAGCTCGTCTCTGAGGGAAATGTGAAGACGGTTGCTGTAGTAACAGGACTGCTAGGAGGCGGGGTCACAATTAGGCCAGTTGTGCAAATATGTACCTGTCAACAAAAGACAAATGTAGACCATTAAAAACACTGCAACGACTCCTCACACACAAAGAATAGAAATGAGCTCCAGCTATTCTGATTAATTACACCTACAGGATGAGGACATATGTGCATCACCGCTGATCCCAGCACAGAGTGTTTATGGCACAGATTTGGATGTCAGTACAGCTAAATAACTGTGCAACAACTGGGGTTTTTGACCCTAGATTTTAGTTAGGTTTATTGCTGTATATTTACTTCTTAGTTTGCCCTTTGTTTTGGTCATTTTGTTTTGTATTCGAGCTTCTAACTCCTGTTATCTTTTCCAGGATTTTATTCTTTCCTGTCTCAGTTCTGTTTCCTTTTGTGATTCATAAATAGATATAGTTTAAATATAATAATTATATTATATTAAATTAAAAAAAAAATGTAAGAAGTTAATATAATAAGCTAAATAAGATAATTAGCTGAGCTTCAGTTTTTCATCCTGTGTTCACCGTCTCCCTTTCCGTGTTAGGTATTTAATTGTTTTATGACTTCCCATTTTATACTGGTAGTTTCTGTCACTGGGACCTTTTCTAGTTTCGCTTCCCCTGTCTCATCATCTTGGATTTGTTTCGGCTGTGTCTTGTAGCCCGATGTTTCCCATCTCCCTGAAACCAGTTTGCATTAGTCCTTTGTTGCATTGCACCATTTGTTCACAGTCTTTCTGCCATGAACACAACATTGGAAAACCTCCCCTGTACCCTTAATGATAAGTTTAAACACCTGAGTGTATATCAATAAACGGTTCGCTGACCACTGGAATGGTCTCCGAGTAGCTGCATTCATGACTTTGGACTGCAGCTGGTGGTTTTTCTTTTGTTGTGCAGCCTCTGTGAGGTCTGCGTAGAGCAACATGAAGCAGGTTTTCACCGCCTCCAGATTCATGTTAGAAATTCCATCTAGTTAGCAGCAGATATCCAGATCTGTTTCAGCTGTAGTCCAACACAGGAAAGAGAAGAGACTCACTGGAAAAAGTGAAAAGAGTTTATAGCGCCTGAACTTTAAAAGAAGTGAGGGGACTGTCGATAATAAGCCTTGTGACAGGACCCTACAACCCTCCACTCTCCCGTGACCTTGAAGTGGACGGATATATTGTCAACAATCAAGATTTCTCTTGCACGCAATAATTTTGGTGCTCTCCAAAAAGATTTTGGTCTTACTAATAAAAATCACCAGGAAAATGATAAAAATATACTTTTAAGCATTTTTCTTTCAGTTGAATCTCATTTACTAAATCATATGACACATTTTCTTCTTATCAAAAGGCCAAAAATAACAGGAATGGGCAAACATTTGTGTTAATTAGGGTAAGAGAGACTCACTGTAGTAACTACACACAGCTCAATTGTGCCTATTAGCATAATCACCCCCACAAGGCCAGTTTTTATTCAGGCAATAACGAGCGCTAGTAAATCTAATGCAGATGCCGTAGTTCTAACAGGCGGATTAAAAACTACAAAATTCTATAAAAACACGTCTACGGTCTATGTGTGGGAGAAAACTGACGTGAAAAATTACCCTGTGACTCGCCTGTCACATTGTGTGTAAATGACTCTCACTGAAACAGTGACGCACATGTGTGGCTTTTTATTCCAGTTATAACCACAAAGTTGGCCTCATGACCTTACAGGCCAACAAAAAATCAGGTGACTGCACAGCAGGACATTTCATTGGACGTGTAAAGAGAGGCGGCTTTCCCAGTCAGTCATCCACATGAGTCATGATGGTGTGCTGGCAACAAGGCCATACTGTTGGACACACAATATCTCCCTGTAGCCTGTGGTCTCTCTCCATGGATGACTGCCTAAGACAGAGCCGCCTCCTAAGGTGTATTTTTCAGTAAGGAGGGCAAGAAAAATCTAACTCTGTACTCAAAAGTGGCACTGTTAGTGAAACGGCTGTCTGAAAAGAATAAATGCCAAAATACAAGGAGGGTGCACTATGTTAAATTAAATAAATACGTGTCCCTTGGGGTTTGTAGTCAAGGCTTTCAAACACGGCCTGTTTTCTTTGGCTTACCTTTGTCTATTGTTTGGGAATTGGAAGAAGAGGAGATGAGAAAAGGTAAACGGGAGACAGGAGACAAAATCTGTGCGTATAAAGCCTGGGGACTCTTTCTGTCGTGTTTTTATTAAACAAAGATCTATAAATCACACATATCATTAGCACTGTTGTCAGTAGGGGGGGGGATCACTTTACGCAGACATATACAGGTTCTTTTATTCCTGAAATATCATGATAATGATTACTGGGATAAGGTCGTTATAAACCTGATTATGCCTTCTGCACAGACAGACGGCTTTGATGATACGTAAATCATATTTACATGAAAAGCTTTTAGTTTTAAAAAAAAGAAGAAAAAAGACAGGATGATCCTCAATATCCGCTTTACTGCAGACAAGCGCTCGCCTTGTCTCCCTCTCACAAAGCAGCACATAAACACTCACTGCAGATGAAAGATTAATGATTGAGCTTAATAGGGGGTTTTGGAACGTAGCATTTCTGAAAGTCTGCAGCAACCAGACAATGAAGTAAGTACGTTAAAAAAAGAGGAGAAGAAAACAAATACATAAAAATCAGAAAGTAACAGAAAAAATGTTTTAGCTGCAAGCTCCCCAGACAACAAAGAACAACAAAATCTCTCTCAAAATAATAATAAACTACAAGCCTTATATTAACCTCCAACTCTACCATATTTTGATTAATGGATTCAACTACTGCATAATTTGTAGTTCAAAATAATCCTTCCACTTGTCTTGTGCTGGGTCTTGATGAAGCCCCTCAGTTCATGTTCTGTCAGAAAGAAGCCACTATAGCTATGCAGTGTCTTTAAAAATGAATATTTCTTACAGGCCTGAAAAGCAAAGCCTTAAACCTACATGAATTATCTCTGGCCAGCAGGAGGCGACTCCTCTGCCGCAAAAGCGAACTAGTTATATAAAGTCTACAGGCAAACTGGCTCCCTTATCTGTGACTTTTGTAAACACTTTCCTGATATGTTTATGTCTTCTATCATTAGTTTTATGTGATACTAAATGCAACATGGCCACAAATTTTAAAATTATGGTTCTCGTTGCTATCAACAAGCGGGACAAAGCATGGTAGTCACTGTGTGACTGACAAGTCCCTAGCCAATAAGCATGCACCGTCCCAAGGTTTCACAGATACATCTGCTTTGATACGATTTCCAAAAACTAAGAATGAGATGGGAAAACCTGCTGCTTAAGACTCAGTAGCAGTTAAATAAGCAATAGTGGATGCTAATGACTAAAATAAGAAAAGGCATAACAGGTCTCTTCCTATTATGCCGAGGAATTTAAACTACCAGTAAGTATCAGGGAATCCACCTTCCCCTAATAAAACTAACTAGATTAGTTCAGCACCATTTATAAAATTACTTGAAATGAATTCATTACAATTTAACAGCCTTTACTTCCCTTTGATAAGCAACAACTATTTGAATTCTTTTCAAATACCATTTACTTATTATTAGATGCACAAACTTTAAGAAACGGACAGCTCCAGGCCAAGTTAAACCCACAAAACATTTGTCTTGCACAGCACCAAGTCAGAGCTCAATCACAGCCGGCTGGCAACCACAAGGCAGCTGTGAGCTGCCGTCATGTCAGGGTTGGTGTGGAAACCTTTAGGGCTAAGCTGGAGTCATTTTTGTGGATGAGTGGAGTCACGCATCCATGATTTCAAACGCTCAGATGGAGCAATGGCCTGTTTGGTATGACGGGGGGAAAGGGAAGTCGGCCTAATTGCTGACAGAAGGAGAGTGAAGCCTCTGAAAAGCAATAAATATCTTGTGGAAAAAAGAGCTGAAGCTGGTTTCTGTTTTTCCTTCTTTTTCTTTTTTTCAAGTTATGCAATTACAGACCAGGGAACAGGATATTTACAAGTCAGCTGGTTAAATGACTCATCTCAACCAGAATCATGGAGTGAAGAGGAATGTACATTTTTCAACTCTGTGTGTTTAAAGCAGACCCATTATTCTCATTCTCATTCCTAACTGCAAATTCTTATTCTTGAACTCTGTTAGAGAAGCTTTGCATGACTTATGGCTCAAAATAATCCTTGTTTATATAATGCTGGGTTTTGCTCCAGCTCTGACTATCTGAAAAATCCTGTGTGTAACATATGTTTGGGCACGTACAACCCATCTAAAAAAATTTGTATAGCATCATTCAGAGGCAACAGCACTCCCCAATGGCATCATACCTGTGAAGGTGCGCTGCAGGAGAGGCCCCCGCTGATCTCTCCGATTCGAGCTGCTGCCGTGGGGTTGCTGGAGCTGATGAGGACCGGACCGCTAATCTCCATGGAGTGGCGCTGGGGGGGAGGTGCTAGCATGGGTTTGTGCGACATGGTGAGAGAGGTGAAAGAATGTCGTTTCTTGCTGTTCTTCTTCTCCCCTACCCGGTGGGCACCATTTGTCTGAGGCCCTGAGGAGGCCCCTTCCCCAGAGTCTCCACTGGAGTCGGACGGCTTGTCCAACTCTATAAGCTGCCGAGCTGCCGAATTGAACTACAAGAGAGGAAGAGAGCCAGCAGGGTTATGAAGAGAGGAGTTGGAAGTAAGTAAAATGAAGGACTGATGGGGGAAGAAGCATTAAAATGATCACGAAAACTGTCACTCTCTATAATTAATCTTATTGTCATGGGAAGTCTCTCTTAATGTATTGACTGGAGAGGGTGAGGAAAAGAACGTGCCCAAGTTGGACATCACATTTTCAGTCCTCTGTCTCACATTTGTCTAACTTACATATGTCTACACAATTCAATTTAACTCAAATTATTCACCCATAAACACAAGAAGTGAATTTTATACCAATATAGAGATTCTGTATCAGCGTCCAAGAGCTTTGAAAACATGAATAAGCTCCAATGTCAGCACTGTCACCTTTACAGACACAAAAGAGGTTGCTGCTTGTCAAGCTTATAATTAACTAAGACAAAAAAGCTTTTATGCACTTGAAATTCTTTACAAACTTCCTAAAAACACATTTTTACATATTTGCTTTCATGCAATATTTTGTAGTCCTATCGTCTCACCTGCATCATTTATGAATAGCTGTTCAGCTTTGTGTTAAAAATGCTTTTACATTGTTATTAGTATTATAATGAATTTAGGATTCTTTTATTGGTTTTTAAATCTTTAAATGGTCTGGCACCTGCGTATCTGTCTGATTTGCTGAAGCCCTATGTCCCCACTCGTTCACTCCGGTCAGCTGAGCAGCTGTTGCTCTCAGTCCCCAAATCACGGCTGAAACTGAGAGGAGACAGAGCGTTCTCGATCGTGGCTCCTAAGCTTTGGAATAATCTTCCTCTTCACATTAGGCAATCGACATCAGTGCTGGTTTTTAAATCCGGATTGAAAACGCATTTTTATTCACTGGCTTTTGACTCAGTGGTTGACTGACTTGTATTTTATTGTTTTTGCTATGTTTATTATTTTATCGTATTTATTATTCTCATGGTATCTATTATGTTTCTATTGTTCAGCACTTTAGTCAGCCTTGTGTGTTTTTAAAGTGCTATATAAATAAACAATGATGATGATGATGATGATAATCTGTGTTGACTTTTTTCTCTGTCATGTTTTCCTCAGTTTTAACTTCTGTATGTTTTTGATCCTGATGTCTGCCCATCTGAATTTAGTATTCTGGTTTTGCTTTTTTGTAAAAGGACTTTGTGAAGATGCCATATAAATAAAATTAAGATAACTATTATTTTTTCTATATAAAACCAAAACAAGGTCTTAGTTAAAGCCTCGGTCACAAAGGCCTAGAGACCAGTTGGCAACTCCATGGCAACCTTTGATCGCTAGTTTAAAAAAAAAAAAAAAAAGCGGATCCCCGGACCAGTTAGTGAGTAGCTGTTTGGGGCTGCTTCCTGTCATGGGATGAAAGCTTGTGACAACACATTTTAAAGGGTGCAATTTTTACTTTGAAGAAGACAGTTCTCTGGTTCTGGTTTAAATTGCACTTTTAGTTTTACTATCAGTCAGGGAGTAGTTAGCCAGTATTTGCAGACAAATCGGTATATTCCATACAAACTATGACCGACCACAGCAATCAAAGTGATCAGCAATCAAAGAAATCACAAGGACTTTGGCGCAGTACCTTCTTTGTGACCAATTTTACTCAGTGACAGAAATCACCCCCCACAAACCTCTCGCCAACCAGTAGGCAAACAATAAGCATTTTTCCCCCAGTGGCTGGGGGTTACAGGGCAGGGGTCACTGAATGTCTTCCTGGCATGTGTGTCTGTGGTTTAACCAAACTAAAAATAGTAAAAAGCAATAATTTTGACAATTTTTCCCTTACAAAACACACTAAAGTACACTACGATATGAAGACAGCCTCTTTACCTTTAGTCAAATTTGTCAACACAATTAGCATTAGGTTTGTGCACACATTTTTTTTTTGACTAATATGACTAAGGATGACTTTTAATACATTAAAATAAACTGAACTGAACAAACAAATACTAAATTATAATAATTCTGCTGTTCATGATACATCTTCTGTGCAGGGGGCTTTAGTCTGAAAGAGTTGATGGTTCAAAGCCAGCTATGAAACCACAGGCTTTTTAACCCTTTCAGGCACCATAATGTATGACTGACAGTGAGGTATAAATCAAAGAAGCAACACTAAAAAGGGTTCAGTTAATCACAGGGTGTGCTTACTTGCTGTCACAGGTTGCCCCAAGCAGCTCTGTCTACTTAGGACATAAAAGCTATGCATTACACTCAGATCCTGTGCAGGTTCATCACTGACATGTCAGCACATTAACAAATATACATGCAGGATTAAGAGCAAAGCACCAGGTGAGAGCCCTTCATCTCATTAAATTATAAGGCCAACTTTATAGATTAATTCATATGCACAACTGAAGACGCAAAAAAAGCCCCTGAGGCGATGAAAAAAACAACAACTATGACCTAGATATTCACTGGTTATGCAGAGACAAAGAACATTTTAGGTCGCTGTACATTTGCTATGATTCTGCCACTGTTTATGAAACCAGAAAAACGACTGCCTAGCATCGAGGGGAGAAGACAACAAAATGTTCTATTCTGCAGTTTCAGTTGTTAAGATACAAAATGATTTATAGCCTTGGAAACACTGCATTCTGCTTCTGCAAAACCCCCACTCAGTGTAGAAAAATATGAGTATAAAAGGACAGAAAACATACAACAGCAATAAAAAAAAAATGCCAAAACAAAAACAAAAAAACAACTGTCACAGCTTTGAAAAACTTGCACAGACTAACCTCAAGATTCTTCCGCAATCTAATTGATGGACACCATGTCTCCACCAAATGCATTTAAATCTATAATGTTTCTATAATAATTTATATAGATTATTTTGGTGAGTTGCCCAGTTTTGGAGATATACTGACTACAGAGGTGCATGATTTCTAATTAAACCACAAAACGTGACTTGAGGCGGTCAAATTTCAAAAAACAAAAAATGTCAGCAGCTGTAGACATCATCATCCAATTATCCAAAAATGTGAACAGTTTCATTTAGGAAACTTTTGTTTTTTGCTTCCTATGGTTTACATCTGCTATCAAAAGAAGGTTGAAGAGGGCTAACATACCAGCTCAGCCCAGTAGGTATAACTAATCCAAAATGTACCAATGAAACATCTTGAACACTTAACACAACCACCAGCCTGAACATCTGACACAAAGCAGGATGGATCCACGATTTCCATTTCGTATTATATATTTGGGAAACTGATCATTCTCTGCAAACTCTACAGAACCCAGTGTGTGGAAATCCCAGCTGCACATAATAAAGTGGTCAATGAGTGCATATTTAAGAGGACGCAGACATTTGCAGAGCGAGTCGCACCTATTTGATCTTCACGTGAACAGTTTCTTCAAGTGAAAATGAAATGATCTTTCAAGGGCAAAGATTTGCTTAATTCAGTCTAAATTATTCCTAAAGCTTTTACACGAGACTGTCAGTGAGACCGCGACTGTCTAAATCTTCAAAGACGTTTTTAATGGTTCAATGAAACATAAGCATTTCAAAAGGATGCGGAGTATCATACATATTTTGTGAGATATATAAGGAAGGTGTTCAAAGGAACTGATCTTAGTGAGACACCTGCTCCTGGAGCGATTGGTGACACTGTAGAGTCCCGTTAGTCGTCTTACCTCAACATACGAGATGGGGAAAATTCCAATTTTATCTCCCAGCATTCCCTCGGCCCAGTTTTCATCTACTCTGCGGATCACAGTCAGGATATCGTCCTGAAATTCCAGACAGACAGGAAAACACTCATTAAGGATACTGCTAACTAAGAGAGTTGCTCATCCTTGAGGAACAAACACTGAACAGAAATAATGAGGTGGGTGCAAAGTTTTATTAAACGGTACATGCCCACGAGTAAAAACACAGGGGTCATTGTGTTTGGAAAAATACTTAGTAAGCTTGTTTAGGTTTTTGCTCATGTGGCACAAACTGATGAAAGAATAAACAGCAGACCATGACCCAACAGCTGGACAGACATAACTGCTTAATTATTGTAGTTAAGACATTCCTAATTACAGCTGTTCATCAAGAAGTCTGGCTGAAAATCTAAACCATTTCTCTGGGCGTCAACAACCCTGACATTCCAACATACACACAAAACCTGAGTAAATGAAAGCTTAGAAGAAAGAGTGTCACTGTAATGAGAGGTATTTTTGTTTTACTACACTGACCATGTGGCAGAAGTGTGGGTTTGCAGTGCTGCTGTGCCTCACCTTTGAGAAGGGCAGACAATCCTTGTCGGCCTCTTTATCTTTGAGCTCAAAGTCATAGAGAGCTTTGCACTGAGGTGGCGGCTGTGGCAGCGGCTTAATAACTTGGACAAAGTTGGTGGGGAAAAAGCCGTGGACTCCACCCATCTCACCGTGGTACCAGTTCTCATCCACTTGTCGACGCAGGATGATAATGTCACCCTTGCTGAATTTGAGGTCTCCTTGTTCCTTGCCATCGTAGTTGTAGAGCGCCTTGGCACACGGGAGCTGGGGTACGCCCTGAAAACCGAGGGGGAGAGAAAAGATTGAAAAACTTAGTTGTGGACAGCTGCATATAAAGCTCAATCATTTTGTGCCTGAAGCATGTGTAGGAGAAACTACAACACACTTATATGATGCAAAGATGCAGAGTGACAGGGTTTTCATGAGTCAATATCAATATGAAAGCAAACAGCCAACAAACACAAGTCAGTGTACTGATGACAATGGCCAATTTCTCAGGACTTCCACAGCAGCCAGCAGATATCTAGAGAAGTCATTACTTATTAATGCAAAAAATAAATAATAAAAAACATGATAAAAAAAAGCTAAATGACATGTATATATGATGAATAACGTGGCAGAAGGACTATCCACAGTTTAAATTTATAATGGCTTGTGTGAATTTTTAACTGACTCTTAAGTAGATGCTAGAAGCATCTTGCATTTATGAGACAGAATACTTTAAATCTTGTTTTCTTACCAAAAATGTGCACGACAGCAACCACAATAGTTATAAAACATAACATTTTAAATGATTATAATTCGAAACAGCTTTTTTAATTGTCCTGGTGTGAAAACTGAGAGAAGTCATGTAAATAAAATGCCTGTCCAATCCTGTCAAGTCTGACTTGAAATCAGACGGGTTGTTTAGTCTCTTCTGCCCAGTGCTGGAGCCAGTGGGACTACTACTTATCTTTACGACTACTTATCTTTTTCAGCTGTTTAAGCAGGAAATGGATAGATGGATGGATGTTATTGTACAATATAGTGAAATTCCATATATGCTCCAAAACATTTCCTGTTGTGTAGTTTTAACATTTCTTTAGTTGGAACAACAAAAAACGGTAAAGAAAAATTAATAAAGTCTGACATTTTAAATGGAAATTGGACAGAATCCACACCAGGACCGTAGCAGTGGCGGACATGTAGCTCACAAGCATGCATTCAGCCCCTACATGAATGTATTCAGGGCTGTAACAAGTTCAAAATAAGGTTGAAGATTGAATTTTGACAAACCTACTCTCCTAAAGGACCATTAATCTGCATGCAATCAAAGCCTGATCAAACAGAACTTGTGGACTACGCATATATTCACCCGTTTATCGAGATTAGGAAAAGCAACAAGTGCTTTTCACACTTATAGTGTGGCCGCGGCTGGTTGTGAGGAGAGAGCGTCTTCAGAAGGCTCAGGGCCCTGCTCGCTTTATCTTGCAGAGGAACTTTTTTTTTTTAATCTCAGCCTGCTAGACCAGAGTCCTGAAAGGCTCATTCAGGCAATGACAATCCAAGTAAAGAGGGACAGCAAGTAAGGGGGAGAAGCAGCATAGAGGATAGAGAAGCATCAATGTTCTCTATTCAGGATGGGTGTCCATGAGGAAGGCTTCAGTCCAGACAACCCCCACCATTTATCATGCTGCTCCCTTTGGAGTGATCAGAATCACAAATGCTATGAAACAGACTGGAAAAAATTGATAGTGTAAAATACACAGAGTAGAGCCTGCAATGAAGACTCAAGTAGATACAAGAGAGTGAGGGGTTAAAAAAAAAGCAGAGTTTGGAGCTCTGCAGTCTTGTTAAAAACTAATGAACTGTTTAAAGCCTCAGTGGAGAGTAAAAGTACAGAGTGAACCATGATGGTGAGCCAGGGTGACATTGCCCTGCTGCAGAGAATCACCCAGCCTGAAGCACAGAGCCAATCGCTCTCCGACTCTGCTGGTCTAGCCTGTGGGAGACAGAGAAAGGGGAGGAGCGGTGCTGCAGCCCCCTGCACACTGCACTGGAACTGGGCCTCCTTTCAGGGGGAAACGGGGCTTTTGAGCCCACCCAGGCCTGGCAGGGAGTTTCGTGATGAAAATGCAAATGAAAGTGCAAACTCTGACATTTTTGTTTTAAATGACAGAACAGGTTCAAGCCATACAAAAACAAGTGGATATAATTACATTGTAAATATAAAATGCTTGTCCCCCTCAAACTGGGACAATTGTAACCACTTGTTTGTACACTGAGGCCAGGACTCAATAAAAACCCTTCAGCAGTAGCGCAGTGTCCAAAATCAGCACTCTTATGCAATCGCTTCTGTACACAGTAAAAGTCATTCAACATGCTAATAAAGTACAAAAACTCTACTGGAAAGAGGCTCATTGAAAGCCATGTAAATTTCAGATTTTCCAAATAATTCCATCAATCTGGACCATTTTTTAAAAAAATGCATAGATAAATTAATAATATGGTCAACGGACCTTAGCAATGGATGCTTTGTCAGCTTTCTTTTTTTTTGATGGAGCTTTTCACTGAATATAACAATAAACTTCATTCATTTGTCCACTAGAGCTGATCGTGCCCACTCAGGATAACATTCATGATTTGAGCAAACACAGAAGTAGCTCTCAGTTCTGAAGAGAGTTTTAAAAACAACTTAAAGAAGATTTAAAGAAGACAAGGCCGAGAGGAAGACAAACGCAGGAGAGGCGTGCAGTCAACTTTCAAAATAAAGGACCTGATGCAGACGAAACGCAGTACTTCTGAAGCAATCCTGGCATGATTTTAAAGCAGAAAACAAACCCGCGACACACATCAGGGGTACTTCCTTTACCACCAATTTGTGATTTCAATCTCCCCCTCATGCCTGGTGAAAGGAGGCACTCTTATTCCAATTTCTACTTCCATATTTGTATTTTTTTTTTATTCTACTAGAGTAGCGTTAAATGATTTCAAGTATAGAAAAATGTTCATTTATTTCATAATGCACCCACTTAGTTCATCATCTCCCAGAAACAAGCTGTTGGAAGCTAGATGCAAGAGTGTGCATAAGACTGTCTTAAACTGGGGGTGGGGGCTAATATCCGGTGTGAATCCATGGAGACAGTGCTGTTGTTTCTGCAGGAGACTTTCATAAAGAAGCACCATCAACCCTGACCAAACATCACCCTGGAGAGCACAAGAAGCTTCTAACAGGAACATATGGCGAGCTAAAGAGCGTCAACCACATGAATGCTATAAAAAAAAAAAAGTCTCTCTCACACACACACACACACACACACATTACATAAACACACAAGTGCACACAAATCATTCTCATCTTTATTGCTTTTAACCCCTCCCTGGGGGCAGGATGGGAAGTGTACATCTCTGGATGAATGTTGCTGTGGAAAAAGCGCTGTCCTGATTTCAAGCTCAACTGCCAGACAGCCAAGAGAACAGCCATCTACAACACACGGTCAAATCAAGTCGTCTTTTTTTCATTACAAGCCTTCAATTGTTCAACATCTGCAGTGAAAGTTTATAGAAGTGATTATACAGCAACAGCAGCCACTGTCGTGTTGCTGTAACACAAGGTCGCTACTCTAAGAATACGCAGATGGCTAATGACTTTTAGCCTCTTTAAACATTTATAATCCATGATTACCAACAGCAGCAAAATCCCACTTCAGCCCCCAAAAAGCAAAAGAGATAGTTTGCAGGCCACAAGACATTTGAGGGACATTAATTTTTCAACACCAAAATCACTAAGAGTGTTACTTAGAGACAATTTAATACCACCCAGCTGCTAAATTTCAGCTAAAATAGTAGATAAGTGGTGTGGTGAAAGAAATATTTAGGTTTGCAGACACCGTATAAATAATTACAGTATGAGCACTGAGAAAGCACAAGTTACACCAGGCAGCTGTTTCATAACCCCATTAGACCGCATTAGGTTGTTAATACTTGTAGTAGTTGTTATTGCTACCCCAAAACAAAACTTAAATAATAATTTCTGGTGAACAAAGCACCACTGCAGATTATAAATAATTAAAAAGAAAATGTAAAGGCCTGCATTACAGAGGACATCTCTTGAACTGAGGCTACAAGCTCACAGGCTAGCTTTCAATGTCAATCCCACAGTAAAGCCTACTCTATTATCGTTTTTGAGTCTAGTGGGATCATAATTTACAAAATAACATTATGTTAAATTCAATATGACTTGAAATTACCAAATGAAACCATACATTTTTGTAACTATATTTTTTTTAAACAACCAGAGTGCTCGCCACCTGCTGGTCAGTATAAGAAATAAAGGCTTGAGGTTTCACTTTTCAAACCCAGAATCTGTCCTCTTGTGCTACTGAATTTTAGGCATTTTATGGGTATTTTTACAATGACTGACTAACTAGAGTCACAGTTTGCACCAGTCCACTGTGGTTTTATGAATTCATATTTTCTTCCATTACACTTTTTTTTTTAAATCTGAACTGGAAGGCATGCAAACAGGCACAGGCAACTAGCTAAATCAACTGATGTGGGAACTGCTCCAAGAAAAAAAAAAAAAGTCAAAGGAAAAGAGCAAAGGAAAAAGGGTGTCCCAGTGAAAAGAAACTCAACTTGAATCCTCAGGATCCAGGTAACAGCAACATTACTAACATGAAACAAGACTCAACTGAACTGGAAGGTAAAATTCGCTGCTCGATTTGTAAAATATATGGTGCCGAGGTGACAGATATATGGAGAGCAGCAATGGAGATACGGGGGTAAGATGCTAATGCAGCTCAATGAGATTAACATTAAGCAGGGAAACGGATAAGAAATTGTCATAGTTAAAAGTAATTGCCAAAAGAATAATCAGACACAAAAGTAGGACTTGTGGTTCCTCCCCAGTTTTCAAACATGAATGTTATAGTGTGATGTATAAGCAGTAACAAGTGGGGGAAAATTGCACTAGAAGCTGTGAACACTAACCTGTGTTTATACACTGGAAAGCGGTACAGACAGATCAGAGAACGCGAGAGAGCCAAGCCCAAATGTGCAGAGCATCAGCTGGTGTGAGCAATAACTCTTGTATTGCAGATAATGCAATTAGACCTGTGCACTAAAGGGATTTAGCTGTTATAGTGTTCCCTTCCACAACACTGGATTATAACTGAATTACTCGAGTTTTACTCTACAGCACAGCAACACGTCAACAACCAGCGAGTAGGCAGGCATAAAATGTATGCAATGTCATGGAGGAAAGACTAGGTCATATGGGGATAATTGTACTAACA